ATCCATCCATCCATCCATCCATCCATCCATCCATCCATCCATCCATCCATTCTCCCACCAACCCATCCATCCATCTACTGCATGGCCAGTGTTGTCTAGAGATGCAACCACTCTTCCTCAACACTACCCGTCCTGCAAAATTCAGACATTCTGAGTCTGAAACCACAGTTAAATTCTGTGGGTTTCATGTAACAATAAATTGTGCTTCTACCCAGTTGTCAAACGTGGCCTGGACAGGGTTTTGTAATATTTTGTAAAAGCATGACTGAATAAGCATGTGGTTTATTCTAAAGGAAAGACTTTCAAGTTGAGAGCAGATCTTTTTTTTTTTCTGTGGGGAAGCACATTTGGCTTTTCCTGTATCCTAAACCCTTCTTTGTATTGTAAATCTAAATTTTAAAACTGCAGCCAAATGTCTGTGTCTCTCAACTGTTCAGAGATTTAAATCATCAAAATGGTTTTTAATCATTCTCCCTTTTGGTAGGACTAGTTCAAGTAATTACTAAGCTGTATTTAATATACCCCGGAACTAATAATATGTGCAAAACAAACACTTTCTGACACATTACAACTGGAACTGTTTAACCACAACGCCTAAGCTATTCATCCTTACCGTGGTTAACTCAGAACACAGATGGGTAGACTTCCTATGCTTTACACACACACATATCCATATCTCATTACATCTGCCAGACAAGTCTATGGCTGGATACGTCCCTTGAGGGTCCATGCAGACCCGGTATAAGTTAGTGTGGCATTCACACACACATGCTTGCATACATTCAAAGTGGAAGGTGCAACCCTGATACGGTAGCCCTCGTTCTCTCCGGCAGGAGCCAAAGTAAAGAGCTCCCTGCTCTGTAAAAACGATTTGCCAACATATCCTGCAAAGAATCAGGAATTTACATGTCTGGACCTGCTACAGAATGAAAACAATACCATCCCTACCCAAACACGGCTCTTGGCACACGCCGCTGACCTCAGTGTTTCGGAGGGGCTATTAAGATGAGCTCTCTTGCCTTATTGATCTGGAGGTTTTTTGTGTGTGTGTTTTTTTTCAAATTCAGGCAGCCAGAAGCAAGAGGTGGTGTGTAAGAGGCTCGACGACAACTCAGTGGTGCAGAACAGCTACTGTGAGACAGGCAGCAAACCACCGGAAAACCTGAGGGACTGCAACACCGAGCCGTGTCCCCCAGAGTGAGTAAAGTTTGTAACACCCAAAAGCTAAAAAAAATCAAAAGTACTTAATAGAGTTAAATATAGACAAGATTTAAAATGCATTCTTCTAAAATGGTTAGTTTACAGTTATATGCTGTCCTTTTTAAGAAGCATGGAGGCGATATTCAGTATTTGCCTAGTAAATTTGGATGAAATATTTCAGCACAGTGTTTCTTTGCTGCTGACACACAAGTTATAGTTTTATAGCCAACAAAGTTGTCTTTATGTAAGCTTTTTTTTTTGTGCTCATCATTATGAACATGCCTCATAAATAACGTTCCTCTTTTCTCACTACAAACCTTGATCATTAATGTATTTTATTCATTTATAATGTAGGTGAAAATCTGAGATATTGATCTCAGAAGATGTCCTGCTTGGTTCCTTTTTCATCTTTTGCAAAAAATCAGTTCAAGATCAAATTGATGGTGTTTTCTCTCCTTATTGGTGCCGGAGCCCTGACTAACTTAATCACTGCAGATGCTGCATCCAACTCCTATTACATCCTTTATGAACTGGCTCCACACCTGACTGTTTTCCTTTACCTGTGACATGAATATATATATACATTTAGTGTATTTTTATAATTAGATTTTACTTCTACAGATGAGCATTTAAAAATTAAAATACAGGACTGCATAAGGCTAAACATGATAACACACTGGCTAATGGAGGATTGTTTATATCTGATTTACTTTTAAGACTCAATCACAAAAACACTCAGAAATATACATTTGTAATATTTACAAGCAACTGAGAAGTTCCTTCCTCCACTAAACACAAGGGAATAAACTAAATCTAAGTAACAATGCTGCAGCTTTTAAAACAAAAATAAGTTGGAGCCTTTTGAAAATGAATTTAATGAAAAACATTAACTTCTGAGCCCCAGTACAGACGTTCATTCCAGCCAGTGTGGATAAACACAATATAATAATTTAATATTTCTTCAAAAATTTTGTTTATTTCACAAAAAGGCAAAACTTACACTAAGCTAATATATTTGCTAAAATAAGCGCATATAAAACTTGTCGGCTCTCCTTAATGTGCCTGTGTTTCCACGAGGATGTTTTTTGTCATCGGCACCAAACTACACTTTCTTGCTCTTTGTTCACCTCAATGCTAACGCTAGCAGCAGCGGTTTGTGCGTGTTTGCGGGGGTCAGGGTTGGCAGAGACCAGCTCATCGTTCAGAAAAGGAGGAGCAGAATCACAGCCGAAGTTTCTTTCACCTGTTTGTATCAAAAATTGAATTTTTATTTCTGACACATTTTAGCTGATGTCAATTAATGAGCCAAACACAAAAATCTGCCCGATAAAGCCACCCTCCGAGCCTGATGGTAAAAGTAGTGAGTGAAAACCTGGGGCAATTTCTCAATTCACAAGAACTAGAGTATGGACTTGTGTCTTCGCCAAGTATGTCTTTGAGAAGAACACAGGAAGGTCTGGACTCGTGGAGAACGGGAACACGCAGCATAAATATGGGTCATTTGAAACAGAGGCGTACTCGTGGCGTCACCACAGGCTCGGCTCGTCTGAAGCTGCGTTTCACCTCCTGTTATTAATATTCTCTAGATAATAAATTCTGACTTTTTTCATTTAGTGGGGGAATAATATTTAACACAGTCAGATAAACACAAATCAAATGAACATTTTGCCAAATAAAACAAAAAAAAACTCACCATCAGAGCGGTCCCATACGGCTATGCTAATAGGGGGCCGCTGCAAACGGGCTGCTGTTAGCCCTGGCTGCCATTACCCTTGGAGGTCCGCTGGTTGCATCAGTCATCTTAAGTTTGGAAATTACGCAAGGGGAAAAAAAAAAAAAAAAACGAAATTACGCATTACATCTGTAAATGGGCCATATAGTGACGTTTAAAAGTACAATGTTCTCTCCTCAAATGATCTTAAAATGTACTTTTATTGAACAGCAACAGAAAAGAGAACTTTTAACTTCTAACTCTGTGAGCGCTCCATTGAAAGCTGCTGCTGCCACAGTGCATGCTGGGACAGCTGTCAATCTCAAGAACGGACAAGTCTGCTCTGATGCATGGTGGGTAAAGAGGGAGGGGTGAGAACCTCATCTGTTGTTTGTCCTTTTTCGGTCTGCTGTTCTTGTGAATTCGAACAGTACTAGGGCTGAGGCTGATGACGTTTCACAAGCACACGAGAACGCACAAGTACACATGTTGAGAAATGGCCTGGTTTATTGTTGGAGCAGCAAGATCGAAGGAGAGCATTTTAAGCACCAGATGTTCCATTTGCAGAACTTTCTTTTTTGTGTAGATGTCATCTGTGACGTAGCTGACGATTGCCCCTCAGGACAGACATGAAGGAGAGGAAGCCATCGATGTAGCTCCTCTCCCACCTCAACTAGCCTCCACTAGGATGACCCTCATGCTGTTTGTGATGTATGGCTGTTTCTTCATGTTTCCCGCTTTGGCGTATGTTTGGATTTCATATCCTGAGACCTCCTTTCACATCAACTCGTGCTTCTTCTTCCTCAACCATAGACATGTCAATAAGAGAATCAAAGCTGGTATCCATTAATGATGGGATGTCGATTGTAGCCAGAGTTTGGCAGAGCTGTGCCAAAGCATTACTAATTTCAAGAGAAGATTCTTCAACATTAGGCTTTGCATTGCTGGATTAATTTACTTTATTGGTTAAAGCTGCATCAGGGTGGCAAACTGTCAAGGATGTACCAGGCCGTTTGCCCGTAGACTCTGACAAAAAAGCAACAGAAGATGGATGAGATTTAATTTGGCTTTCTTTGTAGCAGAAACCCATGCCACTTTCTTTTTAAAACCATTTTCAGCTTGCCAATAACGACAGCCTCGAAAGTAACCACCTGTGTTTGATTGCTTTGGCCTCTTAACTTATCCTAAGGGGAGAAAGAGCATGTAAACAGGTTGTAATAAGAACAAGCGTTTTTGGTGGGAAAACTCTGGTCGCATCATGAGGCACTGCACGATTCGCCTTACTCATGTCTGGAAAAAAGATTGTAAACATAAATGCCTTTTCTTTATTAGTTTACTCTCCAACTTGGGTCTAAACTGGGTACAGAAGTCTCTTTATCAGATACAGCTGTCTAGTTAGTTGTCAAAACAAATCAGCCAATCACATGATGCATTTAAGCACGTAGACAGTGCTTTTTGAGTTTTTACAGCACAAGTGGCTCTTTTTTGGGGGGGAAAGTAGGCTTACAGGAAATGGGGTATGAGAGACATGCAACAAAGTACCACAGGTCGGATTCAAACCTGGATCTGCTGCATCAAGGAGTAAGACCTCCGTACATGGGTCGTGTGCGCTAACCACTGCTTCATCGAAACACGGCCACATAGACAATGCTTTGAGCATAATATGGTTCTTGTTTCATAAAATTTAATCTGCAACAAAATTATCCAGTCAATGGCGACTGTCTATACAAAACTGCCTTAGTGATGTCAAAGGTCAGGGAGGAATGAGCTGACTGGTTACAAATAAAAAAAAATAACAGCATTTTAAAAATCTCCAAAATATATTACTCTTTTTAGTTTAAAAGACGATACCACGGCTATAACTCCCAAAGCCTGACCAAAAGCGGATGATGCTGATGAAGATTTTCTTTCATCCAGGTCTTAGTCATTCCGTAAAAGTTTAAAAAACAATCCACTGGACTTGGTTTCCAAGATTTAAAGATGTTTCACTTCCCCTCCAGGAAGCTTTCTCAATTCAAATGTCTGGATCCGCAGTGAGATTGAGTCTTTATATAGACAAGGCCTTGTATTGCTTGGAAACATGCAAAGGAAACCGACTGAAACCTGTCTATGATTCTGAAGGTTGGTCGTTAAACGGGGGATTGTCTCCTGTAGGGTTTCAGGTATTACAGGAGACAATCCCCCCCTTTAACAACAATCCCCCCCCTTTGACGACCGACCTTCAGAATCATAGACAGGTTTCAGTTATTACAGGCTACAATGGAACCAAACAAAACACTCGTCGGTTTTCATTTGCATGTTTCCAAGCAATACAAGGCGTTGTCTTTATGAAGACTCAAACTCACTGCGGATCCAGACATTTGAATTGAGAAAGCTTCCTGGAGGGGAAGCAAAACGTCTTCAAATCTTGGAAACCAAGTCCAGTGGATTGTTGTTTAGACTTTTACGTAAAAAGTGGATGATAATAGATTGGAAAACTGTTGCCAGGCTCACCAATTCTTGTTCCGGCCACAACTTTTATTAGGTAGCATCGCAGTTTGATTTTAACATTAGAAACGCTTGGATCCATCAATGCTTCAGTGTGGTAGTGATATAACTGTGATGAAGACCACAGCTTAGCTCTGTATTGTTCCTGACCATGTTGAATTTCTCCATGACTATTGGGTACCCTTCAAACAGAATAACGCACAATGTCACAAGGCTCCAACTCATCTGGTTTCTTCACAAGGACAATGGGTTCACTGTACTCCAGTGGCTTTTATATTCACCAAACCTCAGTCCAATGGGATGCTTTTGGGATGTGGTTCAGTGGAAATGTGCAGCCAACCAATCAGTAGCAACTATGTGATGCTATCATGTCAAAATGGACATAAATCTCTGGGGGAATGTCTATGACACCTTGTTGATCTGTGAGCTCACAGCGGGTGGCTTGGAAAATGCACCTAATAAAGTGAAGGGATACGTTTTTAGCACCATTTGGTCTCATAAATTTACTCAACCATATTTTGAATTCATATGATGATTGTCCTGGGTTATTCATCGTCCACATTTGTATCCAAAGGACTTAGACATGCCTTATCACATTTATTTTGATGACAGCTACAGCCTTGCATATCTGTACTGAGTTATAGCACTGAGTATGACATTTGTTTTTGTTAAGGAAGGCAAACAACCCCTCACAGAGTCAGAAAAGGCCATCTAAAGAAGACCATAAACATCATTGTTTTAGAATAGCCAGGTTTTATGGGCTCTGCTAATGAAAGCTGACACAGATGTTTGAACATGT